AAATCCACAAACCCAGTTTTCAACTGTACGTGTTTTTTTGTGTGTCTTATTCTCTGGCCTGTTTGACTGAATCATTCTTGGTTATGGTTTGAAAGTGGTCATCCTGCTGTACCAGTTACGATGTCAAAGTTGTGTACAGCTGTCAAAATGAATGACATCACAAGTGGTACAAGGAAGTGTTCATATGTGAATGGGTTAATGAGTGAAGTGCATAGGAGATGTGTTCAAGGAAAATTTGAAGGAGTTAACTCCTTCTTCAAGATAGTATGCTTGTCTCCCGCAGCTGATCCATGAAGGTGCACAGAGGATAATAGTTTACTGGTGATAAGTTAGCCATAGACTAGCCTGGGTAGCAGGTGCCGTTGGCTTTTTTTGGGGCAAAAAGGAGAAATATCAAGGACAGGCACATGCAAGGGGAGAAATAAGATAAATTATAACCCAAAAAACTAACCAGCCTCTGCCTTGCAGGCTAGCCATAGTTCTGCAACTGACTTTTGCATTTCATCCAGGAAGAGAAGTAATATTTCTAGGGTCTTACAATACTAAAGCTGGGATGACCTCTGGCTTGTGAGCCTTTTGTAAATGCTTTTGTTAAGGGCTGAAGGCCAGACATTTTGCCTGGCTATTAGAAATGTGAGGCATGGCTTCACAACTGGTAGAAGCAATCTGTGGATGATGCAAGGAAATGCCAAAGCCCCTGGCTATTCATCCCACTTCCTTGTCTTCTCCAAAAACATAGTGACAGTTTTGGTTACCTTACTTCCAAAATTAATACTATTATTTCTTTTTACATTCACCCAAAGAAAATGGTGGAAAAAGAGAAGGAAGCAGCTGAAAAGCCAACCAAACCAAAAGTAGAGCTGCAGTCTTTGCCAACAAGAGCATACCTGGACCAGACAGTGGTACCCATTCTACTTCAAGGCCTCTCCTCCTTGTCGAAGGACAGGTAAACTGTCTTGTGATTTTTGTCAAAAGTGGTTTTCCAAACTGGTTACTTTGAAAATGACATGCCAGGCTCCTATGCAAGTGTTTTTACTATTAAATGCAGGTATCAATGTTTAGACGGAGAGGGGGGTACGGGCATAGGTGTGGCAACTCTTCCTTTGTCCCCTTTCTGGGGATTTTGACCACAAATGTTGACTTAAACAGCAGTTTTGTTATTCTCAGAAAGGGATATTTTATCTAATTTGGGCTATTTTTCTCTCTTAAGGGTTGGGAATTCAACCCAAAAATTGTAAAAAAAAAAATTCAAATGCCCCACCTATGCCCTTCCCGCCACCCCCTCCCCTTGGCTGTGCGCATTCATGAATTCAAACTGGCGTGAAATAAACGCATGTTAAGCAACCACAAGACACTGACTACTGCACATGCATATGTCACTTGAATTTAAAAAACACATATCCACACATAAAATAACACCAAAATAAATGTCTGCTATTCTTACTGCTGACAAAATTTGGCCTGTGACGTAGGAAATAAGAAACTCCAGTAAATTCCGTCGTGTTGAGTCTGCACCCTATTGGCATTATGCATTGAGGCCCTTGCTTAGAATTGCTCAGTTTTTGCCCACCTCTTAGCCAGTGCAATGGAGTTTAGTGGAAGTGACTTCAAAGTTTCTTCCCTCCTACCTCCCCTGGTGGCGGTTGACATCGCATACCCTCATTATTGAGCATGCCTATTGTCCTGGCAGTTGCGGTTTACTCCCTTAACTTAGTTCCCCATAACACTGAAATATTATACTAATGAATATTTAAAATTTCCAGTACATTTTTATTAAAGGCGGGGCTGAGTACATCTTTGGATATGATTTTTTTAATAGTCAAATTCTGTAAAGTTATTGTAGAAGTGCAAGAACAAAACTTTGTTAATTCTACAATGAATATTATTTTTAGATCTTGGTTTGACTTTTAAATTATTTTGTCTCATCAAGTACCTAACAAGGATTTCACTTCTACATCTGTTTTTCAGGCCACCAAATCCCATTGAGTACCTTGCTACCTACTTGCTGAAAAACAAAGATCAGTATGAAGACAGCTAGTCAGTGGCACAGTTCATAATATATTTGTAAATTATTCATGTGGGAAGCAGCATGCCACTTCCTCATTCCCTCTCAGTAGAAAAAAAAATTCACAGAACTAACAATGTGGCAAATGTTTTATGACTTATCAGAAAAGGTGTTGCAATCTCTTTTGAAGCTGAATTCTTTATCATTGTTCTTCTATGAGTCAAGGATCCATCTGAAAGTTTTGCAGTCAAAAAAGTTCAGATGCAGAGTAAAATTTTATGTCATTTGTGAGTAAATATTGTCCAGGGGTGAGTGCTTTTTAATGCACAATAATATTGGAGATTATGATATCAGTATTATATCTTTCACAGTTCATTCGTTTTTCATAGTTATCTATTGTGAAACTTTTGATAGCCTGTCTTCCTCACTTTGGAATCTCTCCATGTATGTAACATTTCACAAAAGTGTTGAAATAAAGAAGCTTGTAATCCAGTGATAAACCTTTTTCACCGTCTTCGTGTGACCTTTTCGCACCATAGAGCCATGACTGCACCAGACTTTAAATCGAGGCAACTTTTTTTTAAAAAAAAAAAAAAGACAAAAATTGAGTATGGACAGATAAAGCAACTTCATTTAGCGATAAGATGCAGCCCACAAAAAGCGCCCAATTTCCCTCCAAGGAAAGATTGTTGGTATGTCCCTTTCCTCCAGAGTCTATGCGGAAGATGGCGCTGACATCACAAACCAAATTTTTCGAATCGATGTAGGTTTGTACCAAAAATTCTCACCCCATGGGGCAAAAGCAAAAGACGGATTATATAAAAAACAAGGAACATGAAATCGAGGCAACAAAATTACAGAAAGCAAAATGCGAAAATTCAAACGAGGCAAGATTTTTACGGAATGAAAAAGACTAAATACAGGAAGCTAACAACATATCAACAGAAATGCAGGAAAAGACAGGGCGTTGAGGCAACAAACGGAAAGTCGATCACGAATTCAAGAAAACCTAATTGGAGAATTTAAGACCAGAAAATATTCATGAAAAACAAATTAAAAACTTAAAAAAAAAAACGAAATAAAAGCTAAAATTGCAAATGGATTTGGAAATTCAGAAGAAAATTTTGGAATAATAGCAACAAAATTTACAGTGGCCATGTGGTACACTCATCGTTACCATGACGACACTTTTTAATGCGACGATAACGAACGATGACGACACAAGTGACATTTCGAGTCCAGGCTTTGACAGCCGAACAAAACATGGCGTCGCCGGTTGATCGTCTGACGTCGAGCATGTCTATACTTTGATGGTTCTTTATTCCCTTCATGTTGCGGTTAATAACGTTTGATGCTTGTAACACACTATTTCGTGTTCGAGGATCGCCAGGAGAAGTGTACAGTAACGTGGCCTCTCGGTTCGGAGTCACAGTACAGGATACAGCTCTGAACGAATCCTTCACGCATTCTTTCCGACAATTTTACAAAACAGTGCCAAACTTCGGTGCAAAAACTGAAAAGACTGCAGAAAAATGGTGGTCTAGAGTGGTCAAACAAACCTTTCGATCCGCTGGATTCAACGATGAAAAGATTCTCGCCGGAATTTCCTCCACGTTGTACCGTGAATTCTCCACTGCTTCACTTTGGGAGGTTTATCCCGAAACATTCGATGTTTTGGAACATCTTAAGAATAGAAACTATCATCTTGCCGTCATTTCAAACTTTGACGAACGCCTTGATGTCATACTAGAGAAACTTGACTTGAAAAATTACTTTGATTTCATCGCTTGTTCGTTTGATGTTGGAATATGCAAGCCATCCCCCGGTATGTTTGAGTCAGTACTGTCTCACTTTGGTGTAAAGCCCGAAGAAACTCTTCATGTGGGCGACAATGTCCAACTTGATTACAAACCAGCCGTAAAGTTGGGGTTGAAATCTTTAATTGTTGACCGCCTTTGCAGGGATTTTAGTGAAGATCACGTTGATCCCAAGCATGTAATAAGAGATCTCATCCCACTACTAGAACTTTGAAAAACGTAGTAGTCATAGTCATTCTTCTGCCTTCAGTTTCATCCATTTCTCCATGTCTAATCACATTTCTGTTCATGTTCATAGACAAGTTCAGCAATAATATTATAGCTGTCTACACAGCAATGATATTATTCTACACTGTACATTAACAAACTTTTCCTCTCTGGAAACTGTTTAAGACTATAATAAATTGTTTATATCTTTTACATGAGCATGGAATCCATAAACACATAAAACGGGGTACATTTACAAACTTTCAAGGACTGTTGTTGATAATTTAATGTGAGTCCCAAGCTAACAGATCAAGACCGAAACTATTATTTGGTTCAGGGGCACCCAACGAGAATATAGTTCAAAACCACTTAAACATAGCATTGTTAAACGAATTTTAGTATTTAAACAGCAGATATAGGCATAATTTTAACCCCTAAAAAATTTTCATCTGTTTGGATTTCCTAGCTGAAAGTCTAGTGATCCGAAAATTATAGGGATCAAAACTTACTTTTTCGAAAATTTCAGCCAGAAAAAAGGCTTCCGAAAATTCTAGGTGACCTTTTTAGGTTAAAAATCTGCTAAAAATGGGCAATTATACCATTTTTTAGCTGTTCGAAAATCCTAGGAGAGGCAGGCAACAAGAAATTTACAACAAATGTTCCAAAAATTCTAGATCTCAAATTGTCTTCCGAACAGATATTTTCCGAAAATTGACATTGGGTGCCCCTGTTTGGTTCCAAGCCTCTAGCTAGCATTCACCAACAGGATCATTAACTGGGACGACCAGAGCTAAACCTGTGCAGGAGCCTGAACAGTAAAGAAATTGTAAATTGTTCTCCCATGAAGCACTTAGGAGTTCTTAAAAACTCAGTTTAATGTGTCAGTGTAGTCCAGATTAAATTGGAATTACTAAGAGGTGTTGGTTTTTCACTCAGGAAAGATTAGATTGGTCGCATTATAGCCTGCGCGCAGACGAAATTAAACTCTGGTTAACTCCGTCTGCGAAACAGCGCGAAATCCTTGTTCTGGACTTCCAGCTGTGTACCCAGATTTGAGTACGCGCCACGATTGGCCAGTTAAAAAAAGCCTTTGTTTTGTTTGTCGTGATCGCCGATCAGGTTGAAGGGGAATTCGAAACGCACTTCCAGTAATTCGTTGAGTCCGTTGGGGGTCCAGAACAAGGATCTCTGTGCTGCTTCGCAGACGGTACTAATCAGAGTTTAGTTATCGTCTGCACGCAGGCTAGTGGCATTATGGATGCAGTTACATGGTAGACAAGCTAAATGATGCATCTGGGGAAGACACGATTGAGACGTTCCACAAAACTTTTTGCTCTGAGTCTGTATAACAGGAAAATGATATTTTCTTTAAAAATTTAGCAGTTTCTTGGTATTGCGGAAGGGTACAAATCCCCACAAAATGATGTAAATGCAAAAAATCGAAAAAAGCTGAATGATCATACCCACACCACAAAAGCAAACAACAACACAAAAAAAAAACTAAAAGAAAGAAACACTCAAAAATTTGTATGATAGTAAAAGTGTCCAAAATCAGGACCTCTCTGTTTTGAAATTATAACTATACTATCATATATATTTACCATGAAAACTATGTACAACATCACCAACCAGTAAATACTACTTTGGACAAAAATTATGATCCAGATACACACAAATGAGAAATAACTATTGGTGGGTCTTAAAGTGTTTGTCAGTCTTGTTCTTGCCACGCAAATTGACAGACAAATGGATGATTCTAGTGGACATGTCTTCATGTCTCCAGAATAAAAAGACCATAATTTTTTTGTCAATACAGTCGACTCTCTCTTAACGGACACCTCTATAAGACGGGACACCTCTGTAAAACGGACACCTAGAGTTGGTCCCTGCCTTTTCTTATTCCCTTTATTTGACTCTTTATAAGACAGACATCTCTCTAAGACGGACACTTAGTTCCGGTCTCAAAGGTGTCCGTCTTGGAGAGAGTTGACTGTAAATTATCCTACAGGAACTCATCTTTCAATTTCACGAATTTCCCCATCAGCCAAGATGGCCCAGACAGAGACACAAAGAACTGCCAGTCTAATAATTCCAAGTCATTAACTTATTGTTATGGGTGACACACTTTCTTTCACTAATTTTCTCTGCCCCACATCAACCTTCTTCTTCTATGGTCTACCCTAAACTTAACCTTATTGGAAGTTATTTCTGACTTTTATTTTTCTTTTTATTATTACAGTATTTTTGTCTTATATTTCTGATCTTTAAATTATCGGAATGATGATGATGTTATTTCCCAACACTCTACACACACAGCATACATTGTTATGAAGAGTTGCGAATGCCCTGGGTTCAAGATAACATTACAACCAATCAAAACCATCAAAACCAATCAACCAACCAATCTCCACCAATCGACCAATCACAATTCTAGAAAATTACCCGCCCTAGTCCCTCTCCTCATTTCCTGCGGGAACATATCTTTTTCAACGTTAAAAGTCAACGAGTGATCATGTCTAATCATTCGAGTTTTTTTGCAAGCTTTTCTTCCCCAAATTCGTCATGGTATCGGGAAAAAAGAGAAGAACAGTGGAGCCCAAGAAGCCAAGAAAGTGACCTCGAACCGAGCTTTGATTCTGACGAAGGAAACCAGGAGTCAAAAGCAATCACCATTTATAGTGATTCAAGCTCAGGATTGAGTTCTCTTGAGTCATCTCCTCTAGTTCCGTGGCTTGAAAACTCTTCCTATTTACGTTCATCATCGTCTAAAAGCTTGGTTTTGCATCCTAGAGGTAATAGTTTGACTCAGGAAGGCACTTTGACGGCACAATGCGAAGCTACTAGCCTTCGCGTATCAACTTCGCTCGTGATTGGGAAGCGTCCTCGTGCTCTTGGTCTTAAAGATGTTGATCTGTCTAAAAACGTTATGGCAAGGCATATTCGAGAAGCAAAAGAAGCAAATAAAAGCCCCAAGAAGAGTAATTTCCGCAGTCCTTTATCCAGGCATATGTCTTGCCCTATTTTCAGTTGTACCAATGACAGCTTTATGGGTCTGTCTGACAGACATGGTGTTCCTGGAATAACTGGTCAAATCGGTGAGAACCGAGATTTGAACTTTGTCAGCACTGTGCACCGTAACTCACCAGCAAATACTTTTTCGACTCCAGCATCAGCTGGGAAAGTGAGATTGTTTAGCTGCCCAGATGATCAACCCAACTTTGACCAACTTCGCAATACCCGTCATCAGGGCTGGCATGATGAGCTTGCCCCACACAAAATGTCAAGTGATGGAACAGATAGAAATTTCACACCAAAAGTCATTGAAGTCATTGACTTGACTTCAGGCGAAGCGACTTCAACTGGCAGAATAACAAATTATAGCGACAAGGCAACTTACAAAGATAGCTGTCAGAAAGATGAGAGTATCATGGCACTAACAGCAGCCAGCCAGAATCATTCACCTTTTAAGAG